GGTGCTGCTGTGCTGCCCGACGGCCCTGCCCACCCCAGGAAGGCTCAGCCTGAGGGTGAGGGCCAGCAGAGCACGGCAGAGCTGTGCCACCCCGGCCTGCGGTCAGTGGGCACGGGGCGAGAGCAGGGCAGGACACAGGGGCACGGGGCTGAGCCCAGGGGCACGGGGGTAAGGGAATGGGGGGAAGCTCTGGCACTCTGAGGGTGAGGGTCCCCGTGGCTGCAGCCGGGGACTCTGCTCTGACACACAACCAGCTCATCTCTGCCTCTCCATGGGGAGCCCAGGCACGGAGGGGCTCTCACATCGCAGCAGGTACCACCAGAGGCTCCTCAGGGCACGAGGGGATGCCCTGACCACGCCAGGGACACTCGCTGCAGGCACCTCCCAGCTCTCTCAGCGGAGGAAAGCTGCTCCCTGTGGACTCCTGGCCATCAGCTGGGCCAGGTAGGACCAATGCCAGGAATCAGTGACGCCTCCGGCACCCACTCCTCTCTCTACCAAGGCCCTGACACTGGGTGAAGAAAATCCTTCAGCCCAGCTGAGTGGGAAGCAGTGGGGAGGTAACCAAGCCTCCCTGCCCCCAGGCAGGCTGCTCAACCCCCCCTCGAATGACTGGAGCCCAGTGTTGTCACCTGTCTGTCACCTGCCAACGAAAATGGTGTGGGTGGTCCCTGTCCTGTGGAGACACATGGAGACAAACAGCTCAGGGATTGGGATATTAAATACTTGACGTAAGGGGACTCTCATGATGCTCATCACAGGGCTCACCACTCCACCTGAGCACAAGTACCACCTCAGAGCTTGGCTCTCTGGGAGCAACAGCCCTATGGACAGCATGGGAGACACAGGGGACACCAAACTGAAGGGCAGCTGCTGGAGGCCTGAGGAAAATGGGGTCCTTCCCTGTGGGAGTTGATCAAGAGATGTGCAAAGGGTCCACATATCCCAGGGACTAGAGAAGCCAGGCCCAGGAACATCTAAACCATCCCACAGCCAGCACAGTGTGGGTTTGGGGCTGTCTGTCCCTTTCCCCCCATCCCATTCTCCCCCAGAGGGCATAAACCCACCAAGACCACAGAATTGTGGGATCACAGATTGGTTTGTGTAGGAAGGGATCTTAAATATCATCTAGTTCCAACCCTTGGCCACGAGATCTCCACACAGCTCTGGCAGCTGTGCTGTGCCTCCTTGCAGCAGCTTTGCTTTCCTGGCCAAGAGCTGCAGCCAGGCCTCATCTGGGCAAAGCTCTCAGGAAAGACAATTTTCCTGACAGCCCATGGTCCAGAGCCACCAGACAAGCACAGGAAAGCCTGACATCCATGGGAGCCTTCCTGAGCAGAGCCAGAGCTAATACAGGAGGGCTCAGCATGGTGGAAACCTTCCCTCTACAACATCTCTACAGCAAGAAGAGGCTCAGGACCTCCTCCTGCACACCCAAACCAGGGGGTCCCACACGGAGCCCACAACAGTGTCCACTGGGAGCTGCATGTTTGTTGTAGCCACAATCTGTGCCCACAGAGGGACCCAAGAGACCTCCCAGAGCAGAGCTGTGGGCAGCTACGAGGTGAGGAACACAGACATCTGCAAGCCCTGCCATGGAGAGCAGCACAGGCCAAGCATGAGCTGCAGGAGCTTGGTGCCAGCCCCTGGAGTGTGGCTTCAGCAAAACTCTGCTGTAGGGACACAGCTTTCAGCACCTCAAACCTTGAGCTAAGGGTTTCCTTCACAGACCTGAGCAGAACCTTCACCTCTGTTTATTCTGCACAGAACTAAACACACCCCCAAAATGAGAATAACAAAGCAGCCTCAGTGCCCAAAATGACTGCCCCTGACCACCCCAGTGACAGCCTGAGATCTCCTGCAGCCCCTTTGCCTCAGTGAGTGTGACCAGAGGCCCCCTCCAACAGGCTCCTGGTGGGAGCTGGGCACTGCTCAGCCTGCCCCGGGTGCCCAGCACACCCCCCTCCCTCCCAGAGGGGCTGTGGGGCTGCAGCTGGGGGCTGCCCAGCCCAGCGCGGCCGGGCCAAGCACAGCCAGCTGTGGATCCTGGGCAGGATTTCCCCTGGAAACGACAAGAAAATCCCGGCCGAGCTGCGAATCAGCTCCTTGAAGCCCATCCAGGAGCAGAAGGAGCCAGCCCAGCTCCTGGCAGCCCAGCGCTGCCTCGCCCGGGGCTGGCGGCCCCCTGAGCCGGGCAGCGAGCGGGGGACGCAGGTGGCTGTCGGGGACAGAGCCCTGCCAGGGCCAGTCCTGGCGGGCTGCCCCTGCTCCGCTGCCCTGCGCTGCGGATGGCACCGGGAGGATGCAGGAAGGCAGCTGCCATCTGGATCCAGGGCTCTCCATCTCTGCAGCGTGGCAGCAGCGCTCGGTGCTGATTGTGGGCAGATTAGAGGGGACACAGCGTGCTCATCCCCATCCTGCTGCGCTGCCGCTACCCAGGCTGGAAATAAAGCCTCGTTTTTCATGCAAAGATGCACAATGGTTAACAGGGAAAAGCTTGCCTGGGAGGCATGCAGGTAGCAAACCAATTTCCAAACGGGTCTCCAATTACTCCTGATGGTTATTCGATTTACATTTTTTTTCTGGCTCGCCAGATGTTGATGCTCCGAGGGTGAAATTGGGCCCAGCACGAGGGTGTGGGAAGGTGCAGGAGTCTCCTGCTGCAGAGTGGCACGTTTCCCTGGAGCTGCTCTGTTCCTCACCACTCACAGCCATGCTTCCAACCGTACCGTGCGTCACGGACACGGAGAGGAGCGAGGGAGCCGGGCTGCTGCAGACACCGGAGCCACATCTGCCAAGCCTACAGCTGGAAAAACCCCATTTTCCTGCCAGCACAAACGGCAGCCCCGTGTCCCAGAGCAGGAGTGGCAGCTCCTACCAGGTGACAGCCTCCTGCAAGAAGCCCCTGGGCTAGCTCTGTGCTCTGCTTCCTCAGAGAAGCAGTGGAGGTGGATTCACGAGGCTCTGAGAGTCCATTTTGCAGGAAACGCTCCAAGCTGCCCAGGTCCTGTGGAATGCCAGCCCCACGCCTCTGCACGGACACGGCCGCTCCTGGCACCGCGGGTGCTGGCCCCACACCAGACACGGGGTCAGGACGGTCAGCAAGGCTCTGCTCCTCAAAGGCGTGTTGGTGCCAAGCTCCAATGGAAATGATGGCGACAAGGCTCTGCCTGGGCCTCATCCTGGAGCGGAGCTTCCGAGTGCGTCACGGCAAAGGCCCAGAGCAGAGTTTGTTATGTCCTCTCTCCTGGAGGGGACTGGCACGTGGCGGAGGCTGGCACGGGGAGGGGATGTTTGTCTGCCCCTGCAAAAGTCTGGGGGTAGCACAATGACCCAACCACAACCCTGGGACTGATCCCGGCCCCTGGTGCAGCTGGAGAGGCACCGGGGCGGCACACGGGGACAGGGACAGCAGGCACTGACCTGCCAGGTGCTGTCACTCGCTGCCAGCCAGCTCCATTCCTTGCCAGCTCCACTGCCCACAGCCCCACTGGCTCTGGAGCACTTTTACACGGGAAAACCCGCCGGGAGAAGGGTGAGGGTCAGGCAGAGGGGTGAAGGTCGGGCAGCTCTGCCCACACACTGCACTGCTTGCACACTGCAAACCACCCCGGCCCAGGGGAAGGACAGGGCACATCCCAGACACGGCTAACACAGGCCAGGGCCATGCTCAGTGCCAGTGCCCACTCGTGACATGGGGACAGGTGCCCTGAGACCACCACGGCTGCAGTCAGGCTGGGCCCGGTGGGAGCAGGCAGCCCGTGCTCACACAGCTCCCCACACGTGCCCTCTTCCTCCATCACTACCGTGCCCTCCCTGGCACACACCTCCAGCCCCATGCCCTGCACACCCGCAGGGACATCACCCAGCAACCTCTGCACACGCGTGTGTGTGACACACACCCCCAGAGGGGCACACAAACCCCAGAGGGGCAAACAATGCACATCCAAGGAAAGCACACACATATCCAAGGGGAACACAAGCACATCCAAGAGGTGCACAGGCACCCAGAGCGGAGCACACGCACATCCAAGGGGAACACACACATATCCAAGGGGAACACACGCACATCCAAGGGGAACACACACATATCCAAGGGGAACACACGCACATCCAAGGGGAACACACGCACATCCAAGGAGAGCACACACATATCCAAGGGGAACACACACATATCCAAGGGGAACACACGCACATCCAAGGGGAACACACGCACCCCGAACAGAGCACACGCAGGCGCAGGCCGTGCACACCCGCACGCCCGGGCTGGGGCCGCTCCCCCGCCACGGTTCGCTGCGGAGGGCACGCACCGGGAATCGGGGCCGCCCTCAGCCCCGCAGCTTGACCCCGGCTCCGCGCCCTGGGTCCCGCAGCCGGCACGGCTCCGCAGCGGCTCCCCGCACACGCGCCGGGCCGGGGGTTCCCGCACTCGCACATATTGGTGCTATTTGTGATGCGGGAGCAGCGAGGCAGCGGCGGGGCCGGGCCCTGCCGTGGTTCCCGCACCCTGCGCAGCCGCGGCCCCGCCACGCCGCAGCCCGCAGCGGCAGCCGGCCGCCCGCTGCCCCGCACGGACACGCGTGGGGTGGGCTGAGCCACGCCCCCGGGGTGCGGGATCTCTCTCTCACACACACACTCACACGCTCTGAGCCCGGTTGCTCCGCAGCCACTTAACTCCTTGTTGCCCGTTCCCGCACCGGCCAGCCCAGCCCTGCACCAGCCAGCTCCTTCCCGCACCGTCCGGCCGCACACCCCGCACTGTCCGACCATCCCTCCCGCACCGTCCGGCCACGCAGCCCTCAGTGCCCGGCCATCCCTGCCGCACCAGCCGGCCCCTTCCCGCACCTCTCAGACCTTCACCCCGCACCGTCCGTCCATCCCTCCATCCCGCACCGTCCGAGCCGTTCTCTGCGCCGTCCGCACCCTGGCCCCGCACCGTCCAGCCCCGCGCCCCGCACCGCCCTCCCGCCCCGCTCCCGGCCCCCGCAGCCCCTGCTCACCTGGCCCGGCCGTGCGGGTCCCGCGGCGGGGCAGCGCCCGCTGCTCGCAGCGCCCCGGCGGGCTGGGCGGGGGGCCCGGCTCGGCTCGGCCCGGCCCGGCCCGGCCCGGCCCCGGCCCCGGCCCCGGCCGCTGGCCGGCCCCGCTGCCCCCCTGCCCGCGGCGCGGTGCGGCCGCCTCGCCCCTATGCGGAGGCTCGAGCGGCACCGAGGCGATGCCCATTCATTCAGCTTGGCCCCCGCAGCCCTCCCCTTCCGCCCCGCGCCCCAGCCGCCTGCATGGAGGGGGCTGGCGATGCTGCAGCGGTACCCAGAGCCCCCGGAGAGCACAGTGCGGAGAGGAGGGAGGGAGAGGAGGAGGAAGGAAAGCAGAAGGAGGGAAGAGGAAAGAGGGAGAGGGAGATGGCTGCCCCCAAAACCAGAGCTGGATCTGGAGAAGACTCTGGGATTTCCACCAGGAAATCAGGGCAGGGAGCGGAGCGGGGCCGGCGCAGCACCCCCCGCCCAGCCCCGCACGGCAGCCCCAGCCCGGCTCCCGGGGATGCCGAGCCAGAGGCTGGGGGCTGCGGGGGTGGGCACGGCCCCCCTGCACAACCCAAATGTCCCCTCTGAGACGGGTCTGACCCAGACGGGGGACACCAACTCCCCAGCCAGGAGCTTTGCTTTAAGGACATGGAAAGCTCGGGGGGCGCTTTTTGGTGGTGTTGCCAACCTGATGTTTGGGGGCTGCACGCTTGGCCCCATACCTGCCCTTTTTGCAGAGCCCAGCTTTGCTCAGACGGGGCCCCTTGACCCTCACACACAGTCAGGACCCCCTCAAAGGCACTGGGTTCCTGAGCCCCCAGATAAGGTCCTGCACACCACATCAAAATTTCTCAGCTTTTCCTAATCTGGGTCTTGCCTAACCCTCTGGAAAATAATCCACTGACCATCTGCCACAGTGAAATTCATTTACAACCTCGCACAAATTAGGCTCAACTGTTCACTTCCTGCTCCTTTCTGCTTAGGGCTTTTGGTCACTCTGGTGCACGTGTGTCTTCTTTCCAATGGACTGGGGGTGACCTTGCCATCACTGGGGTGCAGGGCAGTGCCTGTTCCTGATCTGGGATTTTGGGGTGCTTTGCTCCTGGTGGGATGGCATTCTCATGCCAGGATGGCATTGCCAGGCTGGGATGGCATTCCCATGCCCAGAGCTCAGAGTCCTGTCCTCGGGAGGGCTGAGGAGCCTGTTTGGAGGAGCAGCTTCTCTCTCTGGCTGCCCTTAGAGGTGTGTGCAGGGCAGGTGAGGAGCTTTCATGGCTCCAGGCAGGACAGAGAGCAGGAGCTCTGGGATTTCCTTCCCTCTGCCAGGGATTCCCAGCCTGACCTTGGGCGATCCAGGTATTGATCCAGGTGTTGGTGTTTTCAGAGGTGATTGCAAATCCATGGGTTTTGCTGTTTTGGGATGCCTGGCCAGGGCTGCCCCGTGGGAGTGAGGTGATCAGAGGCAGGAATGCTGAGTTCTGTGAAACCCCTCTGCAGTCCCTGCACCTGTGTTAAAGCCTGGCCTGAGGGGTGAGCATGGTGTGGGAGCAGCGACCATGGGGATTTTCCCATCCCTTTGCCCTGGTGCTTTTGCAAATGGAGAGCTGGCTTTCTGGGGAAGAGGCTTCATTCTCTAAGGAAAATGGAAATATACAGATTTTTTTTCCTTCCTGTAGCAGATTCAGCAAAAGTGCAGCTGCCTTCCCAGTTCTGAATACAGAATTGACCATTCAGTTCATCCCTAAGGGGAAATGGCCTAGCAGAGAGGAACAACGAGCCCCACAGTGCTCTCTGCACCCTCCAAAGTCTTTCTCAACCCTGGCATTTTCCTCTCCCAAATTCCAGGGGTGCCTGGCTCCCTTTGCAGGGCAGTGAAGTTTTTCCTCATACTGCCACCCCCCCTCTCTGAAAATCTATCGGCTTCAAAATGTATCATTTTTTCCCCTTAAATTTTGATTTTCCAGGTTATTTGTCCATGATGGAGCCTGGGGGTCAGAGGCACTGGGACAACCAGAGCAGGAGCTGGGTGAGTGCTGAAGGGCAACCCAGGGGGACAGGGCATTCCAGCCCTGCCAAGGGCATGGAGGGTTGGGATCCTAGCACGGCCACCAGGCAGCCTGGAACCTTTTGGCTGTGAGGAGCAATGCCTTTGCCATCATTCTGCCTATTCCTGAACCTCATGGCTGCTCCAAGTGGCTGAAAGGGCATGAAATGAAGGCACGAGTGGTGATGTGTGCTGCTGATTTCACCGTGAGGGTCTGGGTGCTCCTCAGGAAAGTCACTTGGTGTCCTGAGCAGGCCAGGCCAGGTGCAGTGCTGGGGGCATGGAGCAGCTCTGGCAGGCTGCAGGAGCCCCTGCTGGGCTTTCGGTCAGCAGTCAGCCCAGCAAAGGCCCTGTGGAGGAAAAAGAGAAGAAGGGAAATTAGGAAGACATTTAGGAATACGTTATTTTATAATATTTAAGAAGAAATTCTTCCCTGTGAAAGTGGTGAGGCCCTGGCACAGGGTGCCCAGAGCAGCTGTGGCTGCCCCTGGATCCCTGGAAATGTCCAAGGCCAGGCTGGACAGTACTTGGAGCAATCTGGGAGAGTGGAAGGTGTCCCTGCCCATGGCAAGGTGGTTGTAACAAAGATATTCTTGGAGGTTCCTTCCAGCCTAAATCATTCTGGAATTCTGGGATTCTATGAATGAAAGGCAGCTGGGGAGGTTTTTCTGTGAAAGAGCCCAAAGCCTCATTTCTCAGCTGTACTGGAGTCAAGAGGGGGCTTGGACGCCTGAAGGGAAGCCACAGGCAGCTACAGAGGCTTCTCCAAGTGAAGATAAATGGTTCTCATTCCTGGTGATCCAGGGGGGAGAGCTGAGGGTGACACAGTTCGAGGCAGAGGGGAAATGATCTCTCCAGGAGCTGGTGTGGTGAGCCCTGGCTCACTGCCAGGCCGGGGAGCTGAGGGCAGCCCCAGTGCAATGGCAGTGTCCCTGAGCCCAGGGGACTGCTGTCCTGAGGAACTGGCACACCTGGCAGCAGTGATGAGACAACAAGAGGGACCCAGGTGTAGCTGAGCTCGAGGTGGAGCAGAGCAGTGTCTTCATGGCAGGGATGGGCAATGGGCAGGAGATTTCATAACTTTATTTTGCGAGGGGCGTGTTGCAGAATTCACCAGGAGATGGAGGGAGGGCTGTCATTGAATCACCCTCCCAGCTTCCCTTCCCCAGTGGGCTCCTGCAGGAGCTCCACTGCCCCTTGGCCACAAGCACAGAGCTGGGGCTGTGCCCCCTGGGCCCCTCGGGACTCCCAAAGCCACCCCGGGGACATCCCCAAAGCCACCCTGGGGCCATCCCCAGTGCCACCCTGGGGCTGTCCCCAAAGCCACCCCAGGGCTGTCCCCAAAGCCACCCCGGGGCCGTCCCCAAAGCCACCCCGGGGCCATCCCCAGTGCCACCCCGGGGCCGTCCCCAAAGCCACCCCGGGGCTGTCCCCAAAGCCACCCCGGGGCTGTCCCCAGAACCACTCCAGGGCCATCCCCAGTGCCACCCTGGGGCTGTCCCCAAAGCCACCCCGGGGCCGTCCCCAGTGCCACCCTGGGGCTGTCCCCAAAGCCACCCTGGGGCCATCCCCAGTGCCACCCTGGGGCCGTCCCCAAAGCCGCCCCAGGGCTGTCCCCAGAGCCACTCCAGGGCCATCCCCAGTGCCACCCTGGGGCCGTCCCCAAAGCCGCCCCAGGGCTGTCCCCAAAGCCACCCCGGGGCCATCCCATACCTCTCAGCTTGCCGGGCTCGGGCACTAGGCCAGACTCAGCATCCTGAGCACCGTGTGTCTCTCTGGGCTCCAGGGCTGTCCCTCGTGAAGACCTGCAGGGCAGAGAGCAAAGGGGACATGTCCTCACAGGGCTCAGAGGCTTTGGGCCAGGGTGAGTAGCTCTGTGCTAGAACTGGGCTGAGGGGCTGTCCCTGCACTGGGGAACGGCAGCCAGGCTGGCTGGGCTCTTGAGAGAAGGAAGAGGCGAGTCTGGCACGGCGTGCGGAGCCGAGAGTCACCATAGTGATAGTGGCTGGAGCAGGTGGGTGCTGGGGATCGCCAGCCACGGCTGCCAGAGGGGACAGGAGAGGCAGGGCTGCAGGACAGCGGGCTCTGGGCACCCAGCAGGACGGGGAGGCAGGCCAAAGGCAGGCATGGATGACAGAAGCACGTAGAAAACAAGGGAAGGGCATCAGAGAGGCTTTCTAAGCCTTTCTAAGCACGGCTGAATGTGTGGAGAGCAGGAGAAAAATCAGAGAGCTTTGAAACCTTTGGGAGAAGCACGGGGCCAGGACTGTGCTGAGCAGGTGGGACAGAAGGCAGGGACAATGTGAGGGTGGAGGCGGAGAAGAGAAGGCCTGGGAGATGGGGCAGCAGTCCAAGGGGATTTCTCCAGGCTTAGAGGTGTTTGTGCTGCAAACCTGAGGGGCCCTGGCACTGCTTATGGGGACAGCAGAGCAGAGCAGAGGGAGGTGTGATTGGGCTGTCCCCGTGGCACGGAGCTGATGGTGTTGCCAGGAGAAACAGAGGGATCCAGAGGAGTCCCACCAGGGCACAGCACAAGAGGGTGAGCACTGACAACTCAGGGGCTCTTGCATCCCTTATGAAGGATGCTGTGTGGGAGGGCTGAGAGGAGCAGGGTCCTTTAGGGAGGAGGAGATGGAAGCAAATCCCAGGGGAGCTGTTTGGAGCTGAGGAGCTGGCTCGGGCTGGGGCCCTGTGTTATGGTTTGCCCCATGGGCACTGAGAGTGTGTGACACCCCTGCTCACACCAAGGCCCTTCTATTTCAAGTTTTGGCATGGCAGGGTTCAGCTGGTGCTGGCTCTGCAGCCCACAGGACAGCTGTGGGTGTCACTCTGCTCTGAGGCAGGAGCAGATCCCCTGGCACTGCATTGCTGCTGTCTCCAGGGGTGACAGAGTGGGTCAAACGTGCCAATGGCCGGTTCAGTTGTAATGGGCCACATCTTCAATGCCAGCAGGAGAAATGATGGGTCTGGCTCCATCCAGGAAGCTGGGGAGGGACTGGGGGAAAATTGTGGAGT